TTTCCACTTTAGCTTGTGTTTCAGTTTCCACTTTAGCTTGTGTTTCAGTTTCCACTTTAGCTTGTGTTTCAGTTTCAACTTTAGCTTCTGCTCCAGTTTCCGCTTCAGTTTCCACTTTAGCTTCTGCTTCAGCTTCCACTTTAGCTTCTTCTTTAGGTTCTGCTTCAGTTTCCACTTTAGCCTCTACTTCAGCTTCTGCTTCAGTTTCTACTCTAGCTTCTGCTTCAGTTTCTGCTTCAGTTTCCACTTTAGCTTGTGTTTCAGTTTCCACTTTAGCTTCTACTTCAGCTTCTGCCTCAGCTTCTGCTTCAGTTTTTGCTTCAGTTTCTACTCTAGCTTCTGCTACAGTTTCTGCTTCAGTTTCCACTTCAGCTTGCGCTTCAGTTTCAGTTTCCACTTTAGCTTCTACTTCAGCTTGTGCTTCAGTTTCTGCTTCAGCTTCTGCTTCAGTTTCAGTTTCAACTTTAGCTTGTGTTTCAGTTTCCACTTTAGCTTCTACTTCAGCTTCTGCTTCAGTTTCCACTTTAGGTCCTACTTTAGTTGGACATTCTGGTTTATCCTTTTCCCCGGTGTCAGCTGGTGGAAATTCATCCTCTGGTAGAACTTCCTTATCAAGAAACTGCTCTCTTCTGTCTTCAGACTCCGAAGTGGCTTCTTGTCCAACTTTAGAGATTTCTTTCACGTCAATCATTTTTTTGACTTTAGAACATTTGTTAACTTCAGATATTTCTGGAAATTCAGCTACTTCTTTAAAATCTGAAACTTTGTTAGCTTCAGAAACTTGGGAGACCTTTTTAACTTTAACCATGTCTTTGACTTCAGAAACCTCTGCCACTTCAGATACTGCTTTAACTTCTGAAGACTTCTCAACTTCATATTTTTCAGGAACTTCAGCTGCTTCTTTTTTCTCTGAATCTTCCTTAGTTCCATATACTTCTGTAACTTTATGTACTTTTTTAATTTCCAAAATGTCTGCAAGTTCAGATCTTTCTTTAACTTGTGAAAGTTGAAATATTTCTTTATCTTCAGATACTTCTGTGAGTTTAGAAACTTCACCTTGAAATACGTTTAGAACTTCTGTGGATTCAGCTTCTTTAACTTCATGTACTTCAGAACCTCCATCTTCATCTTCTTGTGTCGATTTGTTTTCCTGCTCATCACTGACATTCTCCTGGTTCTGTTTATTTGTTCGTCCTTCAGCAGCAGCAGTACTTCCTGTGAACAGTAAGCAGTGAACTGGATCCATTTGTGTCTCTGATGTTGTCAGTCCTTGTGTTGCCTCAGTGTGATCAGTTTTAGTTTGTTGTTCTGTGTTTTCAGCCTTATCACTTTCGTCTCTGAGAAGTTCCACTGTTTTAGTTTGACTTGTATTTATCTCAGCTTCTGCAGAGTTTCCTGTTTTTAATATGTTCTTTATAGACTGAGCTTCACACATTTCTGATTCTGCTGTCAAATCTTGTGTAATTTCTTCTCGTGTCACTTCAGTTTGCTCAGCTGTTTGTGGTTCTGTGTTATGTTGCTCAGTTGTAATTTCAGTCTTTTGTTCTGGTACAGTAGGTTTTGAGACTGCTTCTTCTTTATTAAGGGACTGAGCTGCGTATTTGTTGGACTCAGCTGTTGGTTCTAGGAGAACTTTTGTTTCTGAATCTTCAGGAAAGTCAAGCTGATCTTCAGCTGTTTGTGGCTCTTTTTCAGACTCGTTTGTTTTTTTATGGAGAGACATGGTTTGTTTCAGTTCATCTGGTGCATTTTTTTCTTCTGTTTTGAGAGACTGAGCTGTATCTTCTTCTAGTTTTAATGCTGGTTCTTGTTCCGCTTCTAGTTCTTCTGAAAATCCAGTGTGGTCAGTTTTAGCTCCATCTCTTTGTGGCTTAGTGTTTTCTTGCTCATCACTTTTTTTGAGGAGACACTCAACATGTTTTGATTCATCTGGTGTGTTTTTTTCTGGGAATGTTAATTCAGTATTTAGGGACTGAACCAAATCTTTTGGTTGTAATGTAGGTGCTGCTACCACTTCTAGTATGTTTGTTTCAGGTGTTGGAGTATAGTCTGAGGGTTGTACTTCACATGACTGAACATCAGCCTCCCTTGAGGCTAACACAGCCTTTTTCATGGTCTCAGGTTCATCTGCTGATGTAACTGTTGTTTCCTGTTCCTGGAAGTCTGTTTTGGAGAAGAGCTTTTCTTCTTCTTGGGGTAAATTCTCTGTAGACATGGCTGACACAGGTTCCACCACCTGTTGGGTCTCATCACTTATTTCTGGTTCTTTAATCTTTCCTTGTTCCTGTGAAACATCAACCTGATAAACTTCATTTGGCTCAGAAGTGACGAAGCGCTCGGTGGCGACCTCGGACACAGTTTCAGTTAGAAGACCTTCACTGAGGTGGGAGAGGGTCTCGGTTTTGGCAGTCACCGTAAGTTCACAAACTGCATCAATTTCTTCAGCTCTCAAGCCTGTTTTAAAGGCAGTCACATCTGAGCTGCTGTGTATTTCCAGAACTTTGAGCTGGTTTGTTACCAGTAAGTTCAGTAGTTGATGTGAGACAGAAGAAACAACTCTTTCAGAACTTAGCTCCTCTGAACCCACTTCCACTGCCACTGGGCCTACAGAGATGGTCTCAGAAACCTGCTGCAGCAGTGACTCTGTGTTCACACTGATGTGTTCTGCTGGTACAGGTGTTGCGTTGCCAGATGTTTTTTCTGACTCCATGAACTGGGAAACAGCAGAAATCATCTCTGTTTCGTCTGCTGCAGTATCATCCACCGGCTCTGGAGCAGTTATGGCCTCAGAAGTGATCTCTATCAGGTCGTCTGCAATGGTTTCATCTCTTGTTGCCTCTTGGAAATGTGAGGCTGGAGTGTTCTCTGTGGTGACACCTTCCTCTGGAATATCACTGAGCTGCTGATGTTCACTGCTTGTTTCTGCAGGTTCATCTGGTTCTTCCTTTTCTGAAGCTTCTGTAAGGTTTGGACTCTCCTTTGCTCGTGTTGGCAGACTGTCACAAGTTAGAACTGACCCTGTTTTCTCATCAGGAAGGTTCTTTTGGAGTTCTTTCTCTTTTTCTTCTTCTGATGTATAACTTTGCTTCCTTTGTATTTGGATCTGAACCCGTGTCTCTGCTGTATCAAATTCACACAGTGGAACCACAGCAGGGGTCTCAGAGTCCTCATTACCTGATGATACCTCAGCATCAGCCTCATCTGAAGACACTTGTCTTTCATCTAACTTCCTGTCTTTTCTTCCCGGCAGAAGTCTCTTTATGGAAAAGGAGGAATCATCTTGAATAACGTCACTGATACTTTCATCTTCATCCTTTGCTTTTCGTTTTGGGGTGACGAGATTTTTGAAGGATTTCCACGCTGACTTTTCCTCACCCTCTGAGGGACTTCCTGTCTGATTGAGAGCCGAAGACAGAACCTGCTGCATCTCATTCGGTGATTCTACAGGTGTCTCTTTAGGTTCATTGTCCTGCTTTTTACCTGCGTTATCCTTTGGAGGTGTTTCATCGTCTGAGTCTGAAGTTTTCCGGCTTCTCCTCCTTCCAGATCCACATAAAACAGCTTCCCATGACACAGATGAATCTTTTCTCTTCTTTCCCTCGTCTGTGCTCGGATCTGATGTTGGCTCTCCTTCACCTGGTTTCGCTCCATCCACAAAGCCTGGGATTTGTCCCTCCTCCTGGTCCAAAGACGGCCTCTTCACGTGTTTTTGTGGAGTCATAAGTTTTTTGAACGAAGCCCAGGCTCCATCATCGCCCCCTGCTGTCTTGGCAGAGGGTTGTGCAGGAGTTTCCTCCTTCTGGTTGTCAGATGACTCCGTAGAGGACTGGAGCTGATCTGAACTGTGTTCACCAGAAGCGAAAAGCTTGGCATCGCTTGATTTTCTGCTTCTCTGTTTTTTGGAGAGTCGTTTAAAACTAGAGCTTGACAGTAGTCTTTTCAAGGGACTGGCTGGGACTTTGTCTTTTTCTTGAGAGTCGATGATGTCAGTTTGAACCACAGCTGTATCTGTGGCTTCAATTGACTCTGCAGCCTGGTTTTCCTCTTTCGGTTTTGTAGCTGGAAGAGAAACGTTCTTCTCATCATGTTGATCTTGCACAGAGTCCTCAGCTGCCTCTGCAGCCACTTTTACCTCCTCTGACAATTCTTTCTCAGAAATTTTGTCTTCCACGAGGCTCTTTCTCTTTCGAAAGCTAGAGAAGATCCCAGTTGTAAAAAAGCGTTTAAAGGGCGTAGTGATCTCAGTTCCATCAGGACCAGCGGGAGATGTTGGATGTGGTTCTTCTTCTGGTTTGTCATTTTCTAGAATTGTTGAAGTTGTTCCTGCAGCTGCATGAAGAGATGAACCTTCCTCTTTGGGTTCTGCGTTCTTCTCTGTCTTTTCTACAAACTCCAGAGCTGCAGCATCTGACAGTGTCTTACAAGTTGTTGATTCGTTATCATGAGCCTCTTGTGCTTCAGTATCTGTCTTCTGTTGAGCCTCTTTAATTTGGATTTCATTTACATCATCTCTGAAGTCTTCTGGTTTGTTTGGTTCCTCGTCATGTGCATCTCTCACTACTGAGTCTTTGTCAGCAGAGCCTCTTTTTACTGTCAGCTTAAAGCTAATGTTGCTGAAAAATCTTCTGAAACTTTCATTGATGTCATTCTTCTTGGCATCCATTTCTATCATCTCATCTGCATCAACTTGATTAGCAGCATCTTCATCAGGCAACTCCTTTAAAATGATTGCATCATTTTTCCTGGGTGTCTCATTTTGTTCTGATCGCTCTGAAGCATCGATGTCTGCAGAAAAGACAGCTAAATCAAAACATAGAATCATGAAAACACTTTAGTGACATCAGTTAGATGAACTGATTCATTGATGCTTGTACAGTTTGTAAATCAGCAGAGACTTATAAACACGAGTACTCACCCTCGACCGCTGTTTCCTCCTCACAGTGACCATTTAATGCTGCAGCAGAGCTGTCTGCTTTTCCACTCATCTCAGCTATCTGCACATTGTTTCTGACAACCTAAAAAATGTAAAATATATCTCCCGTCAACAAGCAGGATTTTACAGCTTAAATACAGAAATCAGCAGCCAGTTTAACCAAAGCAATCATAATCATCAAATCAATCACTTCCTTAAAGGTAGAAAATTTATGCCGACATTTTAAAGCGTGTCAATGTTGCTGCCTGAAAAGCTTACAGATATTACGTTTTTCTTTCTAAAACCCAATGATAATTTGGGACTTCTTTTTCTAATTATCTGAGCTGACAAAATACCACACTGCAAAAACTGTCCATCTAACCAAGTTTTAAAATCTTATATCTTAGTGCTATGAAAATCTTAAACCAAGTCAAAAATTTAAATACACCTCATTTGTATTGGGTACCATTGCCCTTAAACTGTACACTGCAAAAACTGTCCATCTTACCAAGTTTTAAAATCTTACATCCAGCCAAAAAGTCTTTTTGATCTTGTTTTGAGACTGATTTACTAAACAAGAACTGATTGTGTGAGAATAATAATCTTGTTTTCAGAATGTGTAAGATTATTTGTCTTATTAGCCTGAAAATTTGACTCAAATTAAGTCAAAAATTTCTGCCAATGGAGTAAGAAAAATTTACTTGGTAAGATTCTTGATATAAGAAAAAATTGAGTCAAATCAAGTATTTCAAGAATCTTACCAAGTAAAATTTTCTTACTCCACTGGCAGAAATTTTGATTTAATTTGAGTCAAATTTTCAGGCTAACAAGACAAATAATCTTACACATTCTGAAAACAAGATGATTATTCTTACACAATCAGTTCCTGTTCAGTAAATCCGTCTCAAAACAAGATCAAAATGACTTTTTTGGCTGATATAAGATTTTAAAACTTGTTTAGGTGGACAGTTTTTGCAGTGCAACATGTAACAACTGTAAAACACAAACAAAAAAACAACAACTAGTTTTTCCTTTATTTTGAAGGTAGAGGCTTAGATTTACTTGGTTTTCATGATATATTCAATATATTATGTTAGGACTACAGTACATAAAAAATGGTAATTGTAAAAAATAAGTAAAAAGTCTTTATGTCCTTTGGTGACCTGAATTATACAAACACACACTCACGCACAAACATTAAAAAAATCAACATCATTCAAACCACTCTTTTATATCAATACCAACACATCAAAACCATTTCTGAGCCATTCAGATTTTTTACCTCCATGCATTTTGCAAGATAAGAGAACAAGTCCTCCAATAAAACTCTATGTAATAAAGGTCTGAAGCCCCTGGGGGGTTGGGGGTTGTCATCCATCCTAAAACCTGTATTCCTATTATTTTGATAGTATAGGCTTAGATTTATTAGGTTATCGTGAAAAAAGTACAATAGTATGTCAGAATTACAGTGCATCAAAAATATCTTGTTATAATGGAAGTCAATGGGACCAAATTGGGCCCTAGGGTAAAGAGTGTATGGTTGGTGTGTATGTCCTATTCTAAACACCCTAGAGTAGAGTGGGTCATGGAATTTGAAAAATTGTCTTAAAAAAACAAATCCTGGCCAAATATTTAGAATCAAAAATAGAAAATTAGCAGAATGTACACATTTGGTACCCTAAGGTGCCACAAGGGTTAAAGTAGTGCTAGCATTACTTGAGTACAATTGTTGGGTATTCTACGCACCTCAGGTAACCACACACCCACTTTAAATAAAACAGGCAAAATAACAGTGTACAAAATGAAAGACTCGGTCACTGAGCAGGAGCTATAAATCATGTTGGAAAAATGTGTTCTTGTCACATGTTGCTTTACAATGTTTTCTGTAGTAGATGCAGAGGTGGTTTTATTCATTTTGGGGCTCAAGGCACACAAACAGAACCTCCACTCAAATATTTTGTAATCTGGGTTTTTATATTTAATTTCTGCACAAACGTCTGACCTGTTATTTGATTTTTATCGGCAATAATTTATCTAAATCTCCTCCTAGCCTTTTGTTTTGGTAGTGGTAATTTTCTGCTCACCCGTTAGCTGTATCTGCTGGTAGCTTATTTTAGTTAGCATTAGTGATACTGCAAATGACTAAGTTTACTTGCAGCACAGCATTTGTGATGTCAGTATTGGAGATACAAATTTTGTGCTGAAAGTTTATGAAGTGTTTTGTTAGGCCTGAGGCAACAGCATACATCTGTCTGGTTAGTCCACCACTGAGGAGAGGTCAACACAAAAATATACATTTTTAAACAAAATTCAGAGCTCATATGGAAGTAATCGAGAGTCTCTTCATTCTGAAAAGATCTGAGTGAAATCTTTTGGAGACTAGTTAGTGACTCGGATCCAGTAAGTTTGTTGTTGCATTATGAGTAGGCTCTGGATGTTTCTGGACAGATTAAATACAAAATTACTTATATTTTCTACAAGACTATTGTGCCCCCCTCCACACGCACACACACACACACACACACACACACACACAC